CCACTTTGGTTTTGACGGACTTCCCAAAGGAGAGTTTTCCCCGTGGCAGGCCGGAGGCGCCGATGACTGGCGTGCTCGGGTGATGCCAGGCAGAGCGGGCACGGTCAGACCGCTGAAGGACAGCAGCAGAAGCACCAGTCACCTGCTGCTTAGGAGAGGCTTGCTGGGAATTTCCTGGGTTTACCTATACACAAAATAGGTTAAATTCCATAGTTTCAAAAAGTCTTATGGATAAAGCAAAACTTTTTCTACCCAACTCCCTTAAAATGACACTTTTAAAGAATTCTCACCGTAGCCTAATGTTCAAGGTACAGAAGTTTTGCAGTTGATTAAATTTGATTTAGGCCAATGGAGGGAAGTGGGATGTCTTTCCACATCCCAGCAGGCTGTTGCTGCTACAGCACATGCACGGAGGAGTTGGAACGGCTGCTTTCGTGGGAAGGAGGCTGTGAGAGCTGGCAGAGCACATGGGGCAATAGGTCAGGTGTGTACAGTTGTGCTTTGCCAGACTAGCTAAATATCTGGGGGGATGCTGGGAGCAACAAGGGGCTTCAAATGAATCCCTGCTGCATTTGGATAACAGTGACCAGGATGTGTCTATATCAAATGGGGGGAGGGGGCATTAAAAGATTGCAAGGATAGCCTCACCTTTGGCTTTGTTCAGAGTGCTTGACTTCGTAGTTGTGATTTTTACCATGAGTGTCGTTAGATGTCGTTTCATATGTATCAAACACATATTTTCACCCCAGTCAGTCCGTGTCAGCATTGTGCCGTTACCCAGAGCGCTCACACGCAAGGCTGAGTCCCACGCTCAGCAGCCCCGGGCGAGGTGTGAGGGTGACCAAGAGGTTCACCTCACAAAGACACTCCAGGTCCAAACTAAACTGCTGATAGGGATGTGCCCAAAGCGTAAGAACTCATCCCCCTACGTGAAGGAAGGCTGGTGGGTGTGCTCTTGAAGTGAACTCCTGCCACCAGCCCCTGCAACTGGGACAGATCTGCTCCACGACAGCTCCCCCTCCCCAAACCCACAGAGGTGCGCGTGGGGTTCTCAGCACTACCTCAATCTCCTCCCATGGTGCTGCATTACCTGTTAGCATAGAGACCGTGGGTTGGTGCACGTGTTGCTGGTGGGTTTCACAGCCACTGCCTGCAGGCAAAAACAAGGAAGAGTAAAAAAAAAAAAAAAGATTGAAACATAGGAATCTGCTGCTTTATTTGTAGTTCTGTGTGGTGTGTGGTAGTGTTGCCATCCCAGCTTCATACTGAACAGTCCCCCTCTGCCTTTGTAACAGCTCAGCCTGGATCCTTAGCATCATCCCTGGTGACTTCTAGTTTCAGGTTTTCTAGTTTTTCCCTGCTCTCTTGACCTTTTCTCACAGTTTTATCCCCATCGCTTCCAGTCTAGTGTCCAGTGATTTTCCTAAAACATGAGGATAAACTGGATGTGTGTGTGTGCATGTGTTTGGGAGACTGGATTTTCAGAAATTATTAATTTAGATGAATGAAGACAGATTTTCCCATGTCGAGTGAGAGGCTAGGAGACCAGGACATTCTTATTGTTGTCCTGTTTCCAGAGAATAGTGATGCTGAAACATTTAAATAAGAGTGATAATAATAGTAATAATCATTATTGTAATAATAAACTGTAAGAACTGTTTGGCAGACGCAAAGTAACAGATTTTTCACTAACACTGAGGAAAGGTACACTTTTCCAGAAATAAGTCGGAGTTTAGGTTTGAACATGTTCACATGATGACTCCTCTCCTCCAACACATTTAATTTGCTGCCAGGGCGGGCGTGCATGAGTGTGATATGACTGAACTGAATCTAATGCCTGTCCTATTGTTTCTGGACAGCCCTAAAGCTGTGAAGATGTATTGCATTAATGTATCATCATAGCAGTGTCGTTCTGACGATATATTAGTGTAATACATCTTTGGAGCACTCAAATGA